TTCACCTAAGGCAGGATGGACCAGCCACTGGAGTCAGCGATGTGGCTGTCCCTGCGGCTGGGAGGGAGGATGTCTACGTGGAGTATGCCTTTTGAGTGCCAAAGGGCAGCCTCGGCGAAAACACTAAGATCGTATCTAGGCTGCCTTGCTCTGCTTTCAGACTCAGTTAGCAACCTTCAGATAATTCATTGTATTTCCCAGCTACACAAATGTCTAGAATGAAGGTGCCCTGGATACCAAATACGGCTTGCTTACTTGCTTCATTCATTCATTCATTCATTCACTCATTCATTCACTCAACAAACATTTACTGAGAGTTCTCCATGTGCCAACCACACACCAATGAATGAAAACAGACCCAAATTCCTGTCCCCGGAAAGCATACATCCTGGTTAGAGGAGATTATTAAAACGGATCCAGTATATGTTGTGTCAAACAGTGATGAGCGTTACATGGAAAATAAAGCAGGGTGGGTGGAAGAGAGTGCTCCTGTTGGCACTGCTGATTTAAAGACGGAGCCGGGGTCACTGACTGCGGAGTGGAAGAGGTGTGGGAGCGGGCGCGGGAATGTCTCGGGTGGGGGGTGCCTCCGCACGAGGAAGAGCCGCACCAAGGCCTGGAGCAGGATTGTGCCTGGTATGTCCCAGGAAGGCCAGGGAGCAGGAGCAGAAAGGGGGTTGGAGAGACACTCGGGCGCACACTGCACCTTGAGCCTTCCCATGTCTGGGAAAGGGTGTTCCTCCCCATGGGGAAGGCCATGACTTAGGAATCCAGTGTCTGGTTTACACTGGTACCTCCTTCCAGCTTGGCTAGGGTGCACCTCTCGCTATGAAACGAAGACATTCCTGGAGTCTCTGGCATAGTTAGCTTTCTGCCCCTGAAAAGTCAAGAACCTAACTCAGAAACTTGGGGCTGCTTTATGGTGGTGTTCTTGGGGTGACCAAACAACCCTAACCTTATCGCCCCACAGATTTTTGTAGATGTTTGAGATGTGAGCAGTCGTGACTAGCCATCGATGTAGTGGCCACTCTGAGAACATGCAGGGACTGGGTTCACATGTAGGTGGGGCATCACGGATGCAGAGTTGTCACAATGGAGTTCATGACGTTCACTCATGGACCTAAGAGACGATCTGAGCTTGAATCTTGGAATTGACACTAGCTACGGAACCTTAAGAAAGTTAAGTTCTCTTAAGATCTGTTTCTTTCACCTACAAAGGGTGCTTGTAAGAATGAAATAAAACAGGAAGAGTGGTTATGAGGATGAAGTAAAACAATGTACCCGGCGGCAAGGCGTTGGTGGTCGGTAACAGTTCCCTTTCTCCTCCCTTCCCAGTCTCCTTGGCACTGCGCGCCTCGGAATTCCTGCTCAGGCTGAATCATAATGAAATCTTAATTAATCATCACTTTTGGCGCCGTGGGATTCCAACAGTGCTCGGAGCCAGAAGCCAGGTCGGCTCAGCAGAGCCCCACACAATCTGCAGTCTATTTGGGTTGCCTTAGGCTCTCTACAGAGCGGTGGAGGGGAAATGAAGTAAGCGTAAAACACTCAACATAGTACCTGTCCACTCTCTGTCCTCATCAAATGTTAATTTTTACTACTTTTATTCTCCTGTAGTTTTGGCAAATTGTTATGGGAATGTATGTATGTGTTAATTATGCTATGAAAAAGTGAAAAAAGAAAACCTATTTCTGTGAGCAATCGTGGCTTTTATTTTGTTGATAACCATGGTGAATTTGGACAGTCTTTTTCTATTCTTGGATCTGAACATTAGCCATAAATTGAATGTGAGATGAGTACTGTGATGGTTACTTTTATGTGTCAATGTGGCTAGATCACCCAGTTATTCAATAGACCCCAGTGCTGCCGTGACAGAATCCCGCAGATGAGCTAACATCTACCATCAGCTCGCTGTAAGGGGAGGAGGGAATCCCGTGACGTGGGTGGGCCTCACCAATCAGATGGCGACCTTAAGAGCAGAACTGAGGTTTCCCTGCAGACGAAATTCTGTCCTAAGACTGCAGCGCCAGCTGACTGACAGATTCCAGCCCGCTGACCTCCCCACACACTTGCACCGGCCAGCCTCCACAACCACGCAGACCAACCCCTTGGGAAATCTCTGTTTGTGTGTATGTGTGTATTGTATTTATGTGGACGTGTCCATATGTTTGCATGCATATATGCATGTACATATGTATTTGTATATGTAGCTCCCACCAGCTCTGTTTCTGTCTCTGGAGAACCCTGACTGGCGCAGGTGCATACGAGGCTTATTTACTCTTCTTTTTCTGGTCAGTGATTCATATGATGTCTCATTTGCATGATGCAATTTTATTGAAATGAAACTTGAGCAGCTCCAAACTGCATAATCAGTTTCTTTCAGCCTCACAACAATTTCTTTTTGGCCCAGTCAGGCAACCTGACCCCGGGGTGGGGGGGTCAGCCCTCCACGGGCAGCGGCCAGCCCAGCTTACCTGGGAGGCTCATGGGGCACATGGCCTGGGTTCTAGGTGGACAACAGTATCAACATCATGCCAAGTGGCTACTTTGTCTCTAACATTACAGCTATATCCAGAGGTCACAGTGGAAGCTTGTGTGTTCTGCCCTCTGGGCATGCGTTCGGAGCAGAACAGTATGAAAACGCTATTGTCCAAGTGAAAACGTACGTATTTGTGTAGCGATGATAGCACTGCGATTTCTAGAATGAACGCACAGGAGGACAAATTACCATGAGAAAAGGTATCGCTGAGAGTGTAAATGTGCTTTGATTTCTTGTTAGTCTGTCCAAAACGACATGGAAATAAACCCCTGCTGAAAAGTGAGAATAAAAACTATGGCATCATCTGAATTTAGTGCCCCTGCTCTAAGCCTAAAATTGGGGTGGGTTCCCACTTTCATTTTCTTGTTTTACAGTTACTTTCCCCCCTTTATTCCTTTTCTTCATTACAGAGCCTTCCTCACCGCACTGTCAGAATTTGAACAAAAACACCTTTTATCTCTTTTTCAATGTACAGTTTTCTTACTCTATGTCTTATCATAACCAAGCAACCTTTATGTATTAACTTTGTACAAATTGGTGACCAGATCCTTTGAGAAGAGAAGCCAACCAGGAACAGATCCCGGCAGAACCCTGTGAGGACCAGCCTCCCCTGGGAAGGCTTGGGTCGCTGTGACACGCCAGACTTCCAGAAGATAGCCGATGGCCAAGAGGGACTGTTCTTAAGGTGGGAGCGCCGCACTGTCCATAGAAGCTCTACTCTGAGCCAAGCAAGGTAGCTGGGCACGGGTGACCGCGCTACGGGAAACCAGAACTGCAGCCTGAGGACACCTCGACCTCCCCTGTCGCCGGTATGTAGTCTGAAATGCTCGACTGCTCCGAATTGCTTTCCGAGGCTCGCCGCGTCCTGCTCTGCAGTCTCCATGCGTCTTCCCTGGCCTTCGCCCCACGCCAGCGTGCTCCCCCGTCCCTGCCCTGCTGCTTCCTCCCCTCTCTGCTCTTCTCCTGCCTCCTCTCCTGGCCAGTCTTTCCTCTGTTTCCTCTTACTCTTTGCATTTCTGTTCTCTGTTCTTAATCCTTCTTCCCCTTCACTGATCTGTTGTGGCTTTAATCACTGCTGAGACGCTTTAAAGTCACCTAGGGACTGTCGTCTCTCCCTGGAAGAAGAGGGATCGTGACTGTGGAAACCGACTGCGCAGACCCCCCTGCACTTCCGGGGCAGTCCTGCCTCGCCGTGCCTGTGCCTGGGTCGGAGGGGCCCCTGCAGCTGCCAGCGCCCTCGGCCTGGACTCGAGCCCCGGCAGCACCTGGCAAGGTGTCCGAGCCACTACACTATACTGATGGCTACAAATTTAAAATTGCCCTTCGCTGGGGGAACCTTACTCAAGTCTGCCCGGAAAACCAAGTGGTGTTATTTTATAATGACCAGAAGCATTCTTCTCCGCGGCCCGTTCAGTCCCCTGCCCGCCTCACCATTGACCACAGCGACGAAGCACACGAGTGGGTCCTGGGGGAAGGCGGGGGCTCGGTCTGCCCTCGCCGCCTCACCATTGACCACAGCGACGAAGCACACGAGTGGGTCCTGGGGGAAGGTGGGGGCTCGGTCTGCCCTCACCGCCTCGTCACTGACCACAGCGACGAAGCACACGAGTGGGTCCTGGGGGAAGGGGGGGGCTCGGTCTGCCCTCACCACCTCGTCATTGACCACAGCGACAAAGCACACGAGTGGGTCCTGGGGAAGGGGGGGGCTCGGTCTGCCCTCGCCGCCTTGTCATTGACCACAGCGACGAAGCACACGAGTGGGTCCTGGGGGAAGGCGGGGGCTCGGTCTGCCCTCACCGTCTCGTCATTGACCACAGCGACAAAGCACACGAGTGGGTCCTGGGGGAAGGGGGGGGCTCGGCCTGCCCTCACCGCCTTGTCATTGACCACAGCGACGAAGCACACGAGTGGGTCCTGGGGGAAGGCGGGGGCTCGGTCTGCCCTCACCACCTCGTCATTGACCACAGCGACAAAGCACACGAGTGGGTCCTGGGGGAAGGGGGGGGCTCGGTCTGCCCTCACCGCCTCGTCATTGACCACAGCGACAAAGCACACGAGTGGGTCCTGGGGGAAGGTGGGGGCTCGGCCTGCCCTCACCGTCTCGTCATTGACCACAGCAACAAAGCACACGAGTGGGTCCTGGGGGAAGGGGGGGGCTCGGCCTGCCCTCACCGCCCCTGGACCCGAAGCCCGCTTTGCACAGCGGGACACCAGGAAGAGAAGTAGACAGACCCTCAGGACGCGATGACTCCATCATCTGACATCAGGAACTACTGCGCTCAGACTTCACTTTAGCCTCTGGGAACACGCAAGTATGGACTAGACATTTTCAGCTTCTGAAGTCACTGCTCTGGTAGGTTTACGGTGCCTTCGCTTTACCTTTGTGCGCTTGCGGGGAGCGGAGCGCGAGTCTCGGCATGAGTGGCGGCCCGGGCGCCCGCGGCCGTCCTGGGAAGGATACCTGTGGTCAAAGCTGTACCACATTCGGAAGAGCCAGGCGCTCTCCGCCTTGGTGGTGCTTTTCTCCACGTTATTTGCTTCCTGGGGAGAGAGAACAGAAAAATACATTGAACACATAAGCAACAGGAAATACTGATATATCATGTCATCATCAATATATGATAGGTATATATTTCCACTATCAAAATACACATCAAAGCAAATTACATTTAACTGGATTCAAAGCCCTTTCTCGGTCCAGGCATCTTTCTCTCAACGTGAAGCAGCCGCTGCCGATGAGCTCAGGGACCTGGCCACACGGAGGTGCCTCCCGGGTGCGAGCCAACATTTACTCTTCTTAATAATTCCTATTTTATTAAACAGCTAAGAAATGCCGCTTTTGGACGTCCAATAAAAACGATATTTCTGTCAGATTGCTGTTGTGGGAATTTTGCAGTTTACTTCCGTCAAATTTGGATGGTATTTATTTATGACTTAACGAAAGGTCAAGACTAAAGGGATAAGAGCCTAATCACTTTTAAACTAGTTTTCACTTTTTTTCTTTTTGATGGCTCACTACCAAATGCTATGGATAAGTTTTATATCTTTCTGCTTTGAAACAGATATTCCTGTAGGAATCCGGTAACAACTGAATGTTCTTGTCTCATTTCTTCTTTTTTTCCCCCCCCCAAAAAAGGGCCACAGTGAGAAGGAGGAAGAAGAGAAATTACGGACAAAAGAGACAGCATCTGATGGGTGTTTATGTGAGAGCAGAGGATGAAAATGTAGAAAAAGAAAAAGGTGAAAATTTCTGTGAGCTTCGGAGACAGGTGAAAATGAACTTTCGTGTGTAACCCAGTTTACGTACTAAGAGAATTCCAGCTTCAGTCAGTTACAATTATCACCATCGTGAAAAGCATTTATATCTGAACATGAACTTCATTGCTTTGTTCCATTCCCAAATTGTCTCATGAATTCGGTCCAATAATAATGCGAACATTTTCAAAAAATCATGACCCATGGAAGACCATGGCCACCCACTGCTGCTCCAAAGCATGCCCTTTGATGAGTCCAAGCTCGCTTCTCTTCACTGTATTTGATGTACGTTCCGCCGATTCCCAGAGAGGGCCGTCGCTGGTTAATGCTCAACAGCTGCACACAAAGGGCTGCATTCTGCTCGCTGAGACATGCGGGTCAGCAGAGGCTGGTCGGCCATGTATCCTTTGCCTAAATGGTTGGAGCAGAGACTCACCATAAAATCAAGATCTGACTTCAGACCTTGCACAGTGTCCGGAAGAGGGTTGCCCACTCTCCCACATGCTGGTGACCGGAGCTCTGTGCCGGTGTCGCAGGAAAGGGCGTGCGGAGCAGCCTTCTTCTGCAGGACTTCTCAGCATCCTTCACTTGTGAACGAGCTTTGTGAGACTTCAAGGGGGAGGCGTTTCTCAAAGTTGGCCGGGGAACCCATTTCCCATCCCAACCCCCACTGTGGGACATCGCTAATCTTTCCCTGGACATTCGAGTCCCGCAGATCTGTTTTCTGATGGACCCGGAGGGCTGTGCCTGGTTATCCAGAAAGGATTTATTCATTACGCATCATACTTCCCCAGAAAGGAAAGCAAAGTGTCTGGCTCCATTTCCATCGTCCCTGAACCTTTCTCGAGTTATTCCTACCTCAAGAAAGGTGTCCGGTCTTCAAAATCACAGCTGCACATGGTGTTTCATCATCTTGCGTCTTCTACAAGTTATTTTAGCGCCATCCCCCCAACAGGCTTGTGGGCTCAGCGGCCGAGACAGGTAAAGCTGCTCACCCCAAAGCCCACTAGTTCTAGATGCTCAGGGCCACAGTGGCCCCCCTTCTCTGTTCTCAAGAACAAAAAGGATGTACAGAATTTTATCCATCAATAGGCACAGGTAATTTTTGATAGCTGATAATATCTACTAATGACAAGAGAGTTATATATATATGTATAAAAAAACGATAGAAAGGAGTGTAAGCAAATTCCTGTTTCTTGATCGGTTGGTCGTCTTTCAGGAAAGGTGGGCTGTGCAGGGTGAGCTCAGCTGGCACTGAGGGCCCAGAGCTCTGGCACCCAGTGGGCGACGGCCCAGCTATTGAATGCTCCTAACTCCCAGCAGCAGGCTGGTCACATTATCCAGCCATTAACTTTTCCAGCCATTATTTTCCCGAGCCATCAAGGTAGGTTGTGTGATGCCTATTTTTCCAGTGAGGACATAGACAGCTCAGAGAAGGGAAGAGGTGAGCCCAGAGCCACACAGCTGGGAAGCGACGGGCTGGGATTCGAAAGGGGGGCTGCTGGGCTACAAAGAGGTACTCGTCCTGCCAGTACTGCTCCCGGCCTTTAGACCCAGCGCGGCCGTGGTTAATAGGCTACTCGGGCTGCGGTGTTATTGTCTGTAAAATGAACAGAACAAATTGGCCTGACTGGTTTCTTGTGAAAAACTATAATCGTATTAATGAAAACAATAACAATAATGGCTAGCACTTGCTGAACACATACCATGTGCCAGATGCTATTCTAAGAGCTTTTCCGCCCTGGCCAGTTTGGCTCAGCGGTTAGAACGTCAGCCTGCGGTCCACAGAGACCCGGGTTCGGTTCCCGCTAAGGGCATGTACCTTGGCTGCAGTTTGTCCCCGGCCCTGGTTGGGTCGTGTGGGTGGCGGCCACTCGATGTGTCCCTTTCACATTGATGTTTCTCTCTCTTCCTCTCTCTCCTTCCCGCTCTATCTGAGTAAAAAATGGAAAAATGTCCTCAGATGAGGATAAAAAAAAAAAAAAAGAGCTTTTCCTATACGAACTCCTAATTCTCATAACAATTTAACGCAGTGTGTTCAATTACTCTCATGTTACAGACGAGGAAGCTGAGCAGCCGGGCGCGCAGAGAGGTTTCCCAGCACACTTGGGGTCCCTCAGCAGCCAAGAGTCTTCTCATCCAGAGGGGGCCTCCGGGTGTAAAGGGGGAGCAAACTAGGCCACAGAGGTATCTGAACAAGGAGCTGAGTTCAGGATCCTGGGTGCTCACGGAGGCAGAGGTGGAGCAGCTTTATACACCCCAAGACAATGAAAATCCATGGCTCCCCCGAGTGTCAGGAAGGTCTTCACAGTCCTGACACCAGCTTCAAGGCTCCCCAGGTCTTAGAAAGCCCCCCTGCCTTTCTTCCCCTTCCCCTCTCCTTTCATTTTATTAGTTTATTTTATTTCATTTCTAAGGGGAATATGTGAGAACTCACCCCTGAAAGAACTGAGACTCAATTTCTGGCAAAACTTCCAGGGTAGTATTTTTTCAGTTGATGGGAGAAACATATATTAGGTAACATTTTGGAAAAATGGTAACACATGTAATCTCTTGTTATCGTAGGCAGGAGACTGGAGATGCTATTCATTTGACTACTTCGTAGAGAAATAAACTGGTTTCCAATTAGAACACAACACAGAGCATGTCTTCCCAGGCGAGGGATATGCCACTGATGACCCAGCACTGACTTTCCTGCTGATCCTAGAAAAAGTTTTGAGTGAATGTCTTAAATATCTGTTGGCCCAGTTCTGGATCCATTCATTTATCTCTCTGAGGTTATTGATGAGTTAATAACTTGGTTATGAAAGGCCATCAATACATGAGCAGAAGTAAATGAGGCAGAGACTGTGAGCTCCGCTCGTGCAGTGGGGGTGAAGATGGACACGCCGAGGGAAGGCCAGCTTTGCAGTCACGCTGGAGCACGGACTCGGGGAGGCAGCTCAGCGGGCAGCCCCTGGGAGGCCCCGGGGGGGCAGAGGACAGCAGGTAGCATCGGTTCACCTGGGTCATTCTGAAGCAGAGATCAGCCCACACCCCGCAGACAGTGGATGTGCTGAATCATCAGAAGCAGACTCTGGAACTTAGTGGTATTTTCTTTCTCACTAGAAATGCTTCTTTTCTTCTGAGTTTCTTTAACCAAAGGGGAAGCAGTGGGCATGTTGAAACCAACACAGGAGCCAGAAACTGAAGGCCCAGTTCTGAGACCCGACTCTCTATGTGTTTCGTTTAATAGCAAAACACCAACTCCTAGCCTCATGTTTCACAGATGTCGGTGGGAACTGGAGACTCAAGAGCATTAAATCTCAACTTCCACTTGCCCTTGATACCTCTGGGGAGCAGAGTGTTTGATGTATGTGCAGTTTCTGGCATCTGATACCTTCCCTTTTTCTCCTCAAACAAGGGACTGGACTGAACACAGAAGGGAGTGAGCACTGTCTTTGCAGGGACCCCCTCACTCTTAGCACCACCCCAAAGAGGGAGTCACAGGAAAATTATGACAATGCTCTTTGTTTTAAGCTTATACAGACTCCTGAGAGGAAACACAAGGCTCTGGCCAGAAATCTGTGAAAACCACATGCTGAAGCAAGAAGAAGTTGTTTGTTGTATTAAGCTCAGAGGAAAACAACTAAGCAAAGGTATCTACGTCCCTCTGCCAACACTCAAATGTGGGTCCTCGGCGAAGTGAGCGGGCCAGCTCTGCGCTGGGGTAGCCGTGTGGGGCCGCCCCTCAGTTCAGGGGGCTCCACGGACTGAGGCAGAGAACGGACTGTCCTCTCCACTTCTCACGCTCTCACATTCCACGTCAATGTCAGTGCGAGATTCGCGGAATGGCGACAAGGACAGATAACTGTCCTGACAAATCTGCAGAGCTCCTCCAGGCCCCAGGGCACCAGGCCAGGCACCTGTGCGTGGGTCTGAGGGCGGCACTGCTCTGACTCTTCTCCCAGTCTGAAACTATTTCTGGCATATGTCCAAGTTGATCATCTTGGTTTTGCAATTACCAAGTAGAAGACCAGATTCTGTGCCCCTAAAGAGAAATATTTCTGGATTCTGAAGAAGGGGCATAGTATAATTGAGGGACAATAGGAATTTTTTTTTTCAAATTTACACTTTAAAAGGTAAGTCACTAATTCTTAGCCTCCACGTGGAAAGTACTTTATACAAGTATTCTCAGTTTCTCCGTGCCACGGTGAATTCATCACTGTTCCCAAGAAGATGTAGTCAGAAAATACATGCGTGGGGAGACAGCCGCTAAGGACAGGGACAACTGTCAAAATGACATG